CGAGAGCACAGGAGCCTGCTCAGCTCTTCGGGGTGCACACGGCACACTAACCCTTTCCCCCAGCCCCGCTCCACCCACCCCCCCCCGGGCAGTGGGAGCGACGCCTCCAGGAAGCCCTCAGGGATTTCTCCCCGCCTGGCTTCCCTTCAGGCCTCCAGCTTCCTCCTCCCACAGGGAGAGGGAACCCAGGCCCCTCAAAAGGCCTCTTGGTACTCAGCTCATCTTCCGGGAAATCAGGGGCCCAGCGGGGGGTCTGCGAGCCCCCTGCCCTGCCCCCGGGCCCCTGGGGCTCTGAAATCCCCAAGGGGAAGCCTGACGCCCCTGGGACAGGAGAGGCCGCCGGGGACTGGCCAGGAGAGCCGGCTGCTGGATCAAGGATGCTCTTTTAAATGTATTTTTACTGATTTCAGACAGGAAGGAAGAGGGGGACAGAGAGACATCCCTGATGAGAGAGAATCACTGACCGGCTGCCTCCTGCACGCCTCCCACAGGGGATGGAGCCTGCAGCCCAGGCCTGTGCCCTGACCAGGAATCGAACCCTGACCTCCTGGTTCACAGGTCGACGCTCAGCCATGGAGCCCGCTGGCCGGGCTGGAGCGAGGAGGTTCTGTCTGTTACCAGCCCCAGCGCCGGGCTAGACAGGGGACATGTTTTTAAACACAATGGCGGCCACCGTCCCCCTGCGAGCTGTTAGCAGAGCTGACGGTGAGGAGACGCAGCTCGGAGAGGCCCAGCGGCTGCCTGCAGGCCACGCAGCCGGCCTGGGAGAGCCGGGCCCACGCCCGCCCCCTTTCCCGGCCACCACCCTGGGAAGGCGCTGGCGTCCGAGCTCACGTGCCCCTGGCCCGGGCCACCGAGCTGGAGGCCCACGGGGGGCGGGGCCGGGCGGAAAGGCAGGTCCCCGGTCTGCCCGCGTCCTCGGAGGCAGAACCGGAATGTTGGGTTGGCAGAGGGCGGGCGCCGGCCGCCCAGTGCTGAGGCAGCCGGTTGGGACGGGGCTGGGCTGCTGCCCGGTTATTCATCAGGGTCCCCGCCCGCCCGCCCAGCGAGACCGGAATGCCAGCTCGGGGAGAGTCCTGGCGTGTTGGCGGCCTGGGCACGCCCTGGCCGCGCCCCGGCCCGGCCCAGCCCTCCTGGGCTCACCAGGTCCCGGTGCCGGGCCCTGCCCAACCTCTTTGCTCGCTCTCTCTCTCTCTCTCTCTCTCTCTCTCTCTTTCTCTCTCCTCCCCCCTGCCCCCCTGCCCGCCGCCAGCCTTGCCCATCAGCTCCTGGAGCAGAGCAGGCTGGTGGGAGGAAGAGGGCTCAGGCCCCTCTGGTCCCAGCCCTCGGGGACCGGGGCCCAAGGTCACGAGCACCGAGCTTCCCACACAGGTGTCTGCCCACAGCTCAGGCAGGGCCTCCGTGGCCCACCCCTCCAGGCCTGGGGGCTGCCCCGTGGCCCTCAGGACCCTCCAGGCTCCGTGGCCCCAGCCCCGGGGACAGAAGGCCCCCTCAGGGCTCAAGCTGGGAGTCTGGTCCACGCCTGCCCTGGTGCCTGGAGAGCAGCGAGGGTCAGAGGTCACCGTGCATCCTCAGGACGATGGCTCCCCCGCTGGGGATGGGCCCCCCGGGGTGGCCAGGCCAGGGCGGGGGTGAGCGGATTCCAGTTTCCCGATGGCTCCGCGGTGGAGCGTCGACCTTTGAACCAGGAGGTCACAGTTCCATTCCGGGTCGGCTCACAGGCCCGGGTTGTGGGCTCGATCCCCAGGAGCGGGCGTGCAGGAGGCAGCCGTCCACGATCCTCTCTCCTCATGGATGTTTCTCTCTCTCTCCTTCTCCTTCCTCTCTGAGACCGATAAAAATATATTTAAAAAATTTTTTTTTTAAAAAAGCAATGCTGAACGTCATGCCTGGAACTAATGTTAAAGGTAACCCGCGTCAGCGTCCGGGGGTTGTGTGTGGTCTTTTGCAGCCAAGCTGGAGGCCTGGTGCACGAAATTCCCTCAGCCCAGACGGCACCCTCTCCAATCCGCGACCCCTCAGGGGATATCTGACTCACAGTTGGATATCCGTCTTACAATCTGGGGCCACTGGCTCCTCACTGCTCACCCGCCTGCCTGCCTGCCTGCCTGCCTGATCCCCCCCTAACCGCCCCTCCTGCCAGCCTGGTCGCCCCACGCAGCCTGCCAGCCTGGCTGTCCCCCGGGTTGTTTTGGCCATGGCGGCCCTTGGCTCTTTTACACATTAGGATGGGCCTATCCAGGCATCTCCTGCCTCCGGGAGGTACCAAAAGGGCCACTCTGCGGAGACACGGTTACCACGCAGGGCGGCTGGCCTGTCCGGGCTCACAGAGGCCGAGCGGGTGACACCATGCCCGCGGATTGTCGTGTGCCGGTGGCGTGTGACTTTACAGGTCTCGGGGCCCTGACGTAACCGGTGAGCACACGGCTCTGAGTGCCCGTTTTATGGGACGTTTATAGGGGAGGCGGGGGCGGGGAGAGGAAGTCGGTCGCCCGGGCGTCCCCGGGGCTGATGAGGTGGTTGGCACGCGCTGTCCGGCGACCGCAGGCAGGCCACCCCCTCCCCCCATCGGAACCCGGCGGAGGCCGGGCTGGGGGTGGCGTCCGGGGCTCCGGGGGCCCCAGCGGTCCGGGGCCCGGAGCCGCGTCTCACGTGATGCTGAAGGCTCCCGGGCGTGGGGCTTCTGTCCGTACGACTTCCCATCGGTCCCGTCTCCGGTTTATGGGGCCCTGGGCTCCCGGGCACCCGGCCCTCAATTAGCGAGCTATTTCTATTGGGCGCTATAACGCGCTTTACGATGATCGGCTCAGCACGTGGCGGCCGGGAATGCCTCCTGGGGAGGCGCCGGGGCTCCCCGCTTCCGGGGAGGTGAGCGGGTGACCTGCACGTGGCCCCCGGCCGAGACTGCCCCTCGGGCTGCCCCGTCCTCCTCTGCAGGCGGCAGAGGGAACCTACGCAGTCAGGGTGAGTCCGGCCCGTGTAGCTCAGTGGCCAGAGCGTGGACCTGCAGACCGAAGGGTCTGGGGTTCGATTCGCAGTCAGGGCACGGGCCTGGGTTTCGGGGTCCATCCCCAGTAAGGGGGCATGCAGGAGGCAGCTGATCCGTGATTCTCTCTCATCATGGACCTTTCTCTTTCTCTCTCTCCCTTCCTCTCTGAAACCATTAAAAATATATATATATTTAAAGAAATAAATAGCCGAAACCTGTTTGGCTCAGTGGTAGAGCGTCAGTCTGCAGACTGAAGGATCCCACATTTGATTCCGGTCAGGGGCGTGCATGTTGGTTGCAGGCACATCCCCGGTAGGGGGTGTGCAGGAGGCAACTGGTCGACGTTTCTCTCTCATCAACGTTTCTAGCTCTCTCTCTCTCTCTCTCCCTTCCTCTCTGTAAAAATCAATAAAATATATTTAAAAGAAAGAAAGAAAGAAAGAAAGAAAGAAAGAAAGAAAGAAAGAAAGAAAGAAAGAAAGAAAGAGCCAGGCGGCTGTGGCTCAGTGGTGAGCGTCGACCTGTGAACCAGGAGGTCACAGCTTGATTCCCCATTGGGCAGGGCACATGTCCGGGTTGCGGGTTCGATCCCCAGTGCAGGGCGTGCAGGAGGCAGCCGATCCAAACGTCAACGAGGGGATCGGGCACCTCGGGCAAGCATCTCGAACCCGAAACCCGGGGAATGTGCCCTGACTGGGAATCGGACGGGGCCCTCCTGGGTCAGAGGTTGCCACGCAGCCACGGAGCCACGCCAGCCGGTCACAAAGCATCTATTTTACTTCGGGGAATCCTCACCTGAGGACACCCCCCATCGGTGTTCAGAGAGAACGGACAAGAGAGGGAGAGACGGAGAGAAACGTCGATGGGAGAGAAACACCTCAATGGGCGGCCTCCTGCACACGCACCCCGACCAGGGCCCCAGCTGGGGAGGAGCCTGCCGCCGAGGTCTGTGCCCTTGAGCGGAATCGAACCCGGAACCCTTTGGTCCTGCAGGCCGGCGCTCTAACCACTGACCCACACCAGCCAGGACCAAAAGCATTTTTTTAAAAAATAATATTTTTATTGATTTTTTTTTTTTTTTTACAGAGAGGAAGGGAGAGGGACAGAGAGCCAGAAGCATCGATGAGAGAGAAACATCGACCAGCTGCCTCCCGCACACACACCCCCCCCCCCCACTGGGGATGTGCCCACCACAGAGGCACGTGCCCTTGACGGGAATCGAACCAGGGACCCTTCGGTCTGCAGGCCGACGCTCTATCCACTTAGCCAGACCGGCCAGGACCAAAAGGTATTTTTTAACTGAGCCCCTAACGTGCCAGGCGCCACCCTGAGGGGCTCAGTCTGACGCTTTAACAGGGTCCACAGGTGCTTTGTGGGGAAGTGTGTGTGTGTGGGGGGGGGGTCCCGGGGGAAAGGGGTCCCTACGGGAGACAGGTGTCCCATTCAGGCCTCGGGCCCCACCCTGGTCTCCGCGGAGGAGAACGGGGTGTCCCACAGGCGGGAGGCCTCCCTCTGGACGGGGAGACGCGCCCACGGGGCCCCGCCTGGACCCGGGTCGCAGGGGCATGGGCTGTGGGGCGGGGATGGGGGGGGCGTCCAGGAGCCGCAGACACTCTCCCTCCCGGGTCCCAGGCCCCGAGCTGAGCACAGAGTTTCTCCCTGAGCCGGAGGGGCGGCTCCGGGGACCTCGCCATTCCACACCCCGAGCGCCCTGCCCCTCAAGAGCCTGGCCTGGACGGCGGGGAAGGCACGGGGCGGGGCGGGCGGGGCGCGGGGGCGGTATATCCAGGCCGCGGAGGGCGGGCCCGGCCAGAGCCCGGAGGAGCAGCAGCCGCGGCGGAGACGCAGGAACAGACAGAGGAGGAGTCGCGCGCGCCGGACACCCGCAGGACGCGGTGCATGGCCGCGGGGAGCCGCTGAGCCAGAGCCGCCCGCACCCCACACCGCGCACCCGGCACCCGCGCCTCCATCCGCACCCAGGCCGGCCCGCGCCCCCGCCGCCGCCGCCACCATGAACCACTCGCCGCTCAAGACGGCGCTGGCCCACGAGTGCTTCCCTGGCCAGGAACAGCTCCACGCTGGCGCTGCCTCGGACCAGAAGCTCAGGACCGGCACGTCGGGCCGGCAGCGCGTGCAGGAGCAGGTGCTGATGACGGTGCGGAGGCAGAAGTCCAAGTCCTCGCAGTCGTCCACGCTGACCCCCTCCCACCGAGGTACGGCCCGTGCTGTGCGCCCGCGCGCGGGGAGGGGACGGGGTGCGTGCGCCCCGGAGGCCGCGAGGGCGCGCAGGGTGCAAACCTAAAGGCCCCCCGGCCTGTTCCGAGGACCAGGCGGGGAGGCGGTGCGTGCGCCCTGGCGAAGGCCGCGGTGGAGCGCGCGATGCGGGGCGTCGGGGGGACCGGGGAGTGTGGTTAAGGCCGGAGCTAAGCCGGGTGCAAACCCAGAGCCGCCCTCCCCCCACCCCCAGGTCTGTCCGGAGGATCAGGCGGGGAGGGGGGTGGGGGGTAGCAGGAGCCCCCACCCCGTGGGCGGACTCCGGGAGGCAGCGCGCGCCCGAGGGGGCTCCGGGGGCGCCGCCAGGAGCCCTTTCCAAGCGTGGCGTTCGCCGTGCTCGCTCCTGCCGGGCCCTCGACGGCTTTTCCCAAAAAAAAAACAACCTCCCCCTAACCCTGCGGCCGACCCGCCTCGGCTCCGCTAGGGCTGGGGCCGCAGGGTTCGCCCTCAACGCCCCGTCCTAACGCGGGCCGCCAGCGCCCAGGCGGGTGGGACCCGGTCCGGGCGGGGCAGCGCCTGGATTCCAGGGAGCGAGGGTGTCGCCAGAACCCAACGGGGGACGGGAGCGGCTGTGAGGGGCGGGGACAGGCTCTTGTCCCCCCAACCCCCACTGCGCTCCCCGGCCTGGGTGTGGGACTGGAGGGGGAGGGGGCGAGACAGATCAGGGGACCCGCAACGGGTCTGGGGGACGCCCCTCTTCTCCTGGGAGCCAACAGGAAACCCCCATCTCCCACGATTCTCCCTCCTGCCCCCCTCAGCTCGGCTGCCAACAGTGTCTTGGTGAAGAGCGAGGACCGAGGTTGGCAATTGGGGGGTCCCCCTGGGTCCCTGGCTGAGCCCTCGTGGGGGGCGCTTGTCAGCTCCATCTGGGTGCTTGTCTGACCAGGCAGCCCTCCCCACCCCCAAAGCGCCAGACTGAGTGAGGGGGAGAGAACAGGGACCCCCAAAACTCAAGGAGGGAGACACAGTATCGGACAGGAGGGAGACACAGTATGGGACAGGAGGGCGACACAGAATCGGACAGGAGGGAGACACAGTATTGGACAGGAGGGAGACACAGTATTGGACAGGAGGGAGATACAGTATCGGAGCAGCTGGGGGAGACACTCCAGGCCCAGTGCGTTCAGACAAAGAACCACACGCCCGCCCGTGATAGTAAAACTTTAGTCTGGGGCTGACAAAGACCGCAAACCAGGACCAGGGGCCAGGATTTGAGGATGGGGTCCAGGCCCAGTGCGAGAGAGAGTGCTGGTGATTGGGGGGGGGGGGGCGTGCAGGGCAGGGGGACTACACCCCCTCCCCCAGGTCACTGCCCACCACTGGCTTCTGTCCTCTCTCGCTGTCCTGTCCGGAGGCAGAGGGGTGGCTGGCTGAGGGGCCCCCAGGACCCCAGACCCTCAGCCCTGGCTGGGCCCCTGCTCCCCTCCGCCGACCTCCGTTCAAGGTCCCGCGGCCCCCAGAGCCTTTGTCTCCCCCTTCGTGGGGCACCTCGCTGGCTGCTCGCCGGGAGGTTTGGGGTACCAGAGGCCCCGTGTCTGGCCTCGGTCCAGCCACAGCTGCGGCCGGTCTGCTCCGGCCCCAGCACGAGGCTCACCTGTCCCTTTCCCCTGGGGCCTCAGCTCTGGGCCCCGAAACCCTCCCCTTCCTCCCACCAACGGGGACCCCGCCAGCACGGGGACCCCAGGGGCCTTGGGCCGGGCGAGGGCTGACCCTGGTGGCGCCTAGGGACCGCTCCCCACACGGGGCTCCCGGGCCTGCCCTGCAGGTGTGTCCCGTGACCCCGCCTGCAGCCAGGTTGCCACAGGGGCCGGGGGCCGGGGGCCGGGCCCTGCCGCCGCGGCTTCGGCGCTGGCATCGGCACCGGGGCTGGGAGAGGCGGTGAGGTCACCGGAGCTGGTGCGGCTGGTTGAGCGGCTTTGTTTCATCAGCTCCCCGTCCTCCCCGGCGGCTCCGCCCCAGCCGCCCCTGCTCGTCCCTCTCTCCCTCGTCCTCGAACCCGGTTACACCCCGAGCTCCCGCTCTGGGGCCTGGGAGGGGGGGCTGGGAGGCTGGGAAGGGTCCCCCCTTCCCCCAGGACATGTCTCTGGTCCCGATGGAGACTGGAACCCTGATTCTGTGTCACCCACGGAGTCTCTGGCCCCTGGGGCCCAGCAGGGACCTCGGAGCGAAGAATTTGGGGAAGGCCGGCCCTCCCCACTCCTGGTCCCCCCTGCCGGGTGGGGGGGGCATCTAAGAGAACCCTCGGGCCTCTCTGTCTTGTCCCAGGAGGGGAGTGGAGAGCTGAAGAGGGAGCTCCGGGGGAGGAGCCTGGGTCCGAGGGCCTGTTCGTCAGGGCCTCCCCAAAACCCACCCCCCAGCCCCAGGGGGAGGAGGGACTGGGGCCTGGAGACCCCTCGGAGGAGGCTGCTCGGAGCCTGCCTGCCTGGGGGGCTCTTCCCCGGAACTGGCCTCTGTTTTGGGGGTCCCTGTGCACAGAGTGTGGGGGACAGGGGCTGTGGCCGTACCCCTGACCCGCAGGGGTGCTGACCAGGGGCCGGCTGGGGGGAACGGAGACACTGGTCCACACGGAGGCTCTTTGTGGCTTTTTGAGGCGTCACCCTCTGGCCCGACCCCAAGCCCCGCTGCTGCCCGGGGACATGGGGGAGCCCTAACCCTTGGGTCCTCATCAGGCGTGTCTCCTGCCGCTGTGGCTGCTGGGACTTTCCCCTCCAGCCCCGCCTCCCTTCCCCACCTCCATCGGCCAGACCTGCCCTCTCCCCGGGCAGAGGGGCGGGGGCAGCGTCCCGGGGTGCCCGTCTCCCTGTCCATCACAGGGCACGGGGGCGTGAGGCCTCCGGGGTGCAGGCTCGGGCTGGGCCCCCACCCGCTCCCCCGGGCACAGGGGAGGCCCTTCCCGGACCCCGGACCGAGCGCGGACACCCGTGTGGGGCCGTGTTTTCGGGGCCGCGGCTGGGACGGGGGCTGGTGAGAGGCAGCTCTGAGCTTGTTCGGCAGCGAAACCACCAATTAAACTTCAAATGGACCGATTTTGGCTTCTTTACCACGGATCTTGGCTCGGCGCAGCGCTGGGACCAGAATTTCCACCGGCTGCCACGGCGGACAGCCGCAGGGCGCTCCGGGGTCACCGCACCCCCTGCCCTGGCCCCGCTCATGGGCGGGGTTTTTTACACACACGCGCACACACGTAACCCGTATAAACACACGTAACACATATAAATACTCACACACCGACACACACGTACAAACAGTCCGCTCATTGGCGGGGGATTTTTTACACACACACACATACACACACACACAACATGTATAAACACTCACACACACATAGGCACACACGTACAAACAGTCCACTCATTGGTGGAGGATTTTTTACACACACACGCGTAACATGTATAAACACACGTAACACATATAAATACACAGGCACACACGTATAAACAGTCCGATCATTGGTGGAGGATTTTTTTAAAACACACACACATGCACACACGTATAAACACACACGCATAAATGTACACACGTATAAACACTCATGCACGCACACATACGCACACGCGTATAAACGCGTGCACACACATAAACACACATGCACACACGAAAACACACATATAAACGCACGCGCGCGCACACAAAATCCTCTCCGCACCCAAAAGCTGTGACTCCGCACCAGCAGTTGTCCTGACTGCAGCCTGAGAGCCACGCCTGGGCGGGGCCCGGCACCCAGAGGCGTGTGGTGGCCTTGTGTGGCGCTATCTGTGGGCACATCGCACACATGAGCACACATGTATGCAAGGCACACATGTACATACACACATGCATGCACACGCACGCACGGCATGTCCAGGAGCCACGCTCCAAGCAGCCCTGGGCAGTGGGCAGCGGGCAGGGAACCCGGGTCTGCAGGCCCCGGAGCTGGGCGGGGTCCCCCCCCCCCCCCCCGCCCCGGGAGGGGCGGTGCTCACGCGGGGAGCGCTGGGCGGGGAGGGAGAGACAGGCGGCGGCGCAGGTGGGGTGGGCGTGCCGCCCCGGAGCTTGGGGGTGAGGTGAGTCACCCCGGCTCGGCCTGTCCCCACGGGAGAAGGATCCCTGCGCCCTAAAAAGGCAGCTTCTGCAGCTGGGAAAGCGGGGGCGGGGCCTCCCCGCGGGCCGGCTTCCCATTGGCTGGGCCCAGGTGCAGGTGTGGGCGGAGCAGCTGGTGCACTGGGAGGGCCCGCCCCCCTGAGGCACAGGCTGTTGGACCTGGGGGTGGGGGGGAGAGTAGGGATGGGGGTCAGAGGTCACCTGGACGGTGCACCGGCGGGGGGGGGGGGGCAGCCAGGTTCCCCAAGGAGCGCCCCCTCTGCCAGGGGCCTGGCCGCCCACCTGGAGAGACAGGGGGATGAGGATGGTCACCCGGAAGGCGGGGTGATTCCCTGGTCACCCCTGGACCAGGGACCCCCTGAAGGAGGCGACCTCACCCTGACCGGTGTGACTCAGTGGATAGAGCGTCGTCGGCCTGCGGACTGGAGGGTTCCAGGTTCGATTCCGGTCAAGGGCATGTGCCTTGGTGGCGGGCACATCCCCAGTGGGGGGCGTGCAGGAGGCAGCTGGTCGATGGTTCTCTCTTATCCATGTTCCTGACTCTCTAGCCTTCTCCCTTCCTCTCTGTAAAACATCAATAAAAAATATTTTTTTAAAAAAAGGTGACCTTGGCTCCAGGGCTGTGCTCAGCGGCTCTCGCTCTCTTTCTGGTCCACCTGACCGGCCAGCAGGGGGCCTGGCTGAGCCGAGCGGGGTGGGGGTACCCCCCTCCCCCTGCCCCACGCAGAGCAGACAGTCGGCCCCGGTGACGGGATTGGGGTGAGGGCTTCATGGAGGTGAGCCAAGCCGAGCCAAGCACCCTCTGGTGGGAGTCAGGGGACTACGCCCAAAGTCATTTTCTGTAAATGTTTATTGATGTCAAAGAGGAAGGAACAGGGAGAGAGAGCGCCAGAGAGAGAGAAACACCCATGATGGGAGAGCTTCATGGAAGGATTGCCTCTTGCACGCCCCCTACTGGGGACGGAGCCCACCACCCAGTGCCCTGACTGGGAATCGAACCCGTGACCTCCTGGTTCCTAGGTCGTCACTCCATGCTGAGCCATGCCGGCCGGCCTGACCCGCAAACTCAGGAGCCTTAGGCCTTGTCCCACCCGGAACTGTGGGTTCCATGCCCACCCCGGCACTCCTGGACGGGGGAAGGGGGACTGGCGTTCCCAGGGGGGGGGGAGGGGCCTCGCCACCCCCTCCCCCCCCCCGCACCCTGCACCGCCTCCACGGCAGGAACGCCCGCCAGCCGCAGGAGAGGAATGTGGGGGGGCAGCAGGCTCCGCGGGAGCAGGGAGGATGCTCTGGGTGGCAGAGGGCGGGGGGTGACCTCACCGCAGACAGGGCCGTCCGGAGACGGGCGGGGGCCGTGGGAGCCTCCTGGGGCCCGGGGCCGTCTGTCACCGCCCGGCGCTGCCTCCCGGGAGCCGCTGGCTGACCCACGCCTGCCCCGTGGTGAGAACACGCTGTGTGTGGGCAGCAGCCAAGTGCACCCGCTGCCAGGCCTGGGGAGGCGGCAGGTGCTGATGGAGACGGGCGAGGGAATGGGCGGGAGTCTGGCCCAGGCCCCTCCCGGGCCCCTCCTGACGAGGCCTCCCTTCTGAGGGCAGATTCTGGAGAAAGGGGGGCACCGAGCCCCCTGCACTCAGCAAGGAGCTCGGCGGGGCCCCTGGACGAGGCTGAGGAGCAGGGAGGGGTGGCCCAGCGGGCAGCCCGGAGGCTGTGGGTCCGTGGCTGAGGGCACCTCTTCCCTGTGCTGAACCCCGACCCCGGCGAGGAGAAGCGGGCGTCCCCGGAGGCCAGCCTGCACGCGTCATCACGGCCAGGGGCCCCGGGTCCGGGGGGGAAGGGGCGTGGGGTGCACAGAGCTCACCCCGATGACGGAGGAGGAAGCTGAGGCCCAGAGGCCGGAACCGGCCAACGGGAAGGCCTCCCGGCTCCCGGGGCCACAGCCCGGGACACGGCCGGCCGGGGGATTGTCTGTGACCGGGGAACGGGGTCGGGGGTCAGTGCCCTGGCCTCTGAGGTCACGGGGGGAGCCAGGGGGCAGGTGGCATCGCACCGAGGAGGTGGCACCAGGCCGGGACACGTGACATGTTTTTATTGTTTTATTTTTTGTTTATTCATGTCAGAGAGGAAGGGAGAGGGAGGGAGAAAGAAACATCCATCAGCTGCCTCCTGCACCCCCCCCCCACTGGGGATGTGCCCGCAACCAAGGTCCATGCCCTTGACCGGAATCGAACCCGGGACCCTTCCGTCCGCAGGCCGACGCTCTATCCGCTGAGCCACCCCGGTTTCAGCTCAAATGTATTTTAATGGATCTCAGAGAGGAAGGGAGAGGGAGGGAGAGAGAAACATCCACGATGAGAGAGGGGATCACGGACTGGCTGCCTCCCGCACGCCCCCCACGGGGGATGGAGCCCGCACCCCGGGCCTGTGCCCTGACCGGGAATCGAACCCTGACCTCCTGGTTCCTAGGTCTACGCTCCACCACGGAGCCACGTGGGCCGGGCCACCTGCCACCTCCTCAGGCTGCTCCTCCTGCTCAGGGTGCAGCCCCCTCCGTCCCCCCAAAGGCTCGGGGGTCTGAGTGGGGATGGCAGGTGGGGTTGGGGCTCACGTACCAGGTGACAGAGCCTCCGAGGCTCTCGGAGGCCCCCTGAGGCCCTCGCTGAGCTTGCTGGGGGCCTGTCCTTGCTCTGGACGTCGGGGTCCCAGGTGCCCCTCCCTCGCACCGACGGCAGAGGAGGCAGAGGTGGCCGTGGGCCGGTCAGGACAGGCCTCCTGCGGGGAGGACACCTTGAACTTGGCTCTGAACTGGCGAAGTCAAGGGTCAAGGCCAAAGGTCAAGGCCGAGGGTCCATGCCGAGGGTCAAGGCCGAGGAGAAACAGCAGACAAGGCGTGGGGGGGTCCCAGCCTGGCCCTGGGAGCTTGTGTCAGGACCGTAGGGGCTGCCCTCTGATGACGGGGAGAGGAGAGAAGGGAACCCCCCACCCCGGAACCCCAACCCCAACGCCATTGGCTGCTAATCACCCCAACCACCCCGTCGCCGAGACGCCTGTCATTGTGGGGCGCGGGGCCCGGAAAACAGTAATTAATCCTCACGGGGCCCCCTCTCCGGCCGGAGATGCAGGAAGGGGCGGGAGCCCCCCCTCCCCGGGGCCGGGCTGGGGGCGGAGCCGGCGCCCTGCCCCCGGGGGACTCCGGCCTGCAGAGGCTGCCCGCCAGCTGCCCCTGGGCTCCGCAGAGGCTGCCCCTGGGCTCCGCAGAGGCTGCCCCTGGGCTCCGCAGAGGCTGCCGCTGCCTGACCTGACCTCCGGCCGGCATGGCCCTCTCCGGCCGGTCCTCCCCGAGCCGCCAGCTCCTCTTCGTGGGGCGCGGGGTGGTGATCCCCTGGAACGGGACGGCGCTGCTCCTGGCCTGTGGGTGTCCCGACGCCGCCCCGGACTCTGTCCCAGCTGCTGTCTGCACCAGCCCGAGCCCTGGCCGGGGAGGAGGAGGGGGAGGAGGGGAAGAAGGAGAAGGGGGAGGAGGAGGAGGGGGATAGCACGGGTGGGCCCGAGCCCTGGCCGGGGAGGAGGAGGGGGAGAGGGAGGAGGAGGGGGAGGAGGGGGTCAGCATAGGCTGGCCTGGGCCCTGGCTGGGGAGGATGAGGGGGAGGAGGGGGAGGGGGGGAGAAGGAGGAGGGGGAGGAGGGGGAGAAGGAGGAGGGGGAGGAGGGGGAGAAGGAGGAGGAGGAGGAGGGGGAGGAGGGGGTCAGCATAGGCTGGCCTGGACCCTGGCCGGGAAGGATGAGGGGGAGAAGGGGGAGGGGGAGGAGGGGGAGGAGGAGGAGGAGGAGGGGGAGGAGGGGGACAGCACAGGCCAGCTTGGGCCCTGGCCAGGGAGAGGGGGAGGAGGGGGAGGAGGAGGGGGATAGCACAGGTCAGTCTGGTCCCGTCTCTCCTCCTCCGGCGCAGACCTGGCCCCTCGGATCGATGGGGCGATGCCGGGCGGGCGGGCGGGTGAGGAGCCGGCCGGTCCCGCGGCCTGACCCCTGCCTCTCCCTCAGGTTCCATGTACGACGGCCTGGCGGACAATTACAGCTACGGGACCGCCAACCGGAGCTACTACACCAAGCTGCAGGCGGGCAGCGGCTCCTGGGCCTACCCGGTAAGGAGCCGAGAGTCTGCGGGGGGGGGGGGCGGGGGGTGCAGGGAACCCACCGGCGCGGAGCGCGGGGCCCCCACCTCCTCGGAGGGCCCCTGGGGGCCGCTGGGGTATTTCTGAGTGTCTCCAGTGAGCCATTCTCCAAAAGCATCAGGAAAAAATGTGTTTTTTTTAATCCTCACCCAAGGCTACTTTCCCATCGTTTGGGGTTTGTTTTGTTTTTTTAGAGAGAGAGGGGAAGGGAAGGAGGGAGAGAGAAACGTCGATGTGAGAGAGACACATGGATGGCTTGCCTCCTGCACGAACCCCCCAACCAGGGCTGGGGATCGAACTGGCCACCCAGGTACATCGCCCATGACCCTTCGGTACCTGGGCCTGCGCTCTAACCACCAAGCCTCACCAGCCAAGGCCGTGGGTGGGCCTTCCTCCCCGTCTTGTGAGGGCTCATTGGATATTTCTGTGTCTCCAGGGAGAGAAAAAATTCTTTAGACACACCCACCAAGGGCCACTTTTTTAAAAAAATATATATATATTTTATTGATTTTTTTTTCTGAGAGAAAGGGAGAGGGATAGAGAGCTAGAAACATCGATGAGAGAGAAACATGGATCAGCTGCCTCCTGCACACGCCCTACCGGGGATGTGCCCGCCACCAAGGTCCATGCCCTTGACCGGCATCGAACCCGGGACCCTCCAGTCCACAGGCCGACGCTCTGTCCACGGAGCCACACCGGTCAGGGCAAAGGGTCACTTTCTAAAGTCCACATGGCTGTGTCTGACGGGGTCCCAGCACCTCGATTCTCTGGCTCCCCTTGATTTTGTCGGTTTCAACAAGTCTGTGCTGGTATCAGAAACCTCTTTGTCAGGTGCAGGGGGCGGGGGTGGAGGCTGCTGTCCGTGGGGGCTGGGGCTGCGTCTCCGAGGGGCTCAGTGGTCAGGGGTGCCCCCCCGCCGGCTGCCGGGGTCCTGGGCGGGGAGACAGTGCTGGGCGGTGCATGAGCCAGGAGTGTCTTGTTGTCAACGTGATTGCTTCCTCCTCAGGCTCCTGTTGGGGCTCATTTAGGAGCTTGTGTTCGGTGTGTGTTTGTTGTTTTTGTGTGTTATTGGCGAGGGACTAAACTTAGGGACCCCAGCCAGGATCTGCTGGAGACCGAGCTCCTTCTGTGTGTGTTTTGTGTTCTGATTCCTTAAAAAAAAAAAAAAATTATATATATAGTTGATTTTTTTTTACAGAAATGGAGGGAGAAGGAGAGAGCTAGAAACATCGATGAGAGAGAATCGCCGATCAGCTGCCTCCTGCACACCTTCTAATGGGGACGTGCCCGCAACCAAGGTCCATGCCCTTGACCGGGATTGAACCCGGGACCCTTCAGTCTGCAGGCCGACGCTCTGTCCACGGAGCCACACCGGTCGGGGCTGTTTCTGATTCTGAATGTCAGTGGGCACCCTGGGTGCCACCTGAGCCCAGGGCACAGACCCCTCAGGGGGCGACAGGCCAGGCCCGGATGGGGAATCGAGGGCTGGGACTGAGAGTGGCGGCCGGCCAACCGGGGAGCCAGGGCCCGGCTCCCACAGGCGGGGTGGGTGAGAGCCGGGAGGGCAGGGCGCTGGGTGGGACCCGTGGGGCGGGCGGGGAGATGAACAATCTGGCTGGTGCTGACGAGGCAGATGGCACCCGATCCAGATAAACCTCCCCCCGCCTCCGGGGGCGCCGGTCCTCCCGCCGGGGAAAGGGGGGCGGGGGCCCCCTGGGCCGCCCGTCACTCACAGGTGGATACATTGTTGCATCAGCCCCGGTGCGTGAAACTTTGTATCCAGCTTGGTTACAAGCGTGAAACTTTGTATCCAGGCGCCGTCAGCGTGGCCACAGCCCACTGTGGGCCTTGACGCCAATGCGCGGGCTCCCGAGGCACCCCTCCCCCCCGCACCCCGTTTTCTGGCCGCCAGGGGAAACCCCTTCTCTTCCCCGCACCCCGAGGCCCCCTCCTGCCCGCCTCCCTGGCGGGGCTCAGACGTGACTCACGCGGGCACCTGCCGGGGCAGGTCCTGTCTCCGCTCCGCCCGCGGAGGCTCTGGGAACGGCCCGGGCTGCGTGCTCACCGGCTTGGGAGGAGGAAGCGGACGGTGCGGACGGGAGCCAGGCCCGCGGGCAGAGCAGCCGGGTGGGGCCAGGTGGGGGGGGGGGGAGAGCGGAGGGGAAAGTAACCGAGGTTGGGGCACAGCGGGTCCCCTGTCTGGGGACTTCCCGGCCGAGATAGGACAGGCACAGGGGCCATGTGACCCCCACCCCCACTCCCACCCACCCCACCCCACCCCACCCCACCCCCACTCCCACCCCACCCCACCCCCACCCCCACCCCACCCCTCAATAGGAGAGAGAGGTGGCCACGCTTCCTTTCTCTCTGCAGAGAGCACATGTGGGCCACCTAGCAGCTACCTGACTTAAGGCACACGCACACACACACACACACACACTCACACACACAGTCAAACACACACTCACATGCACACACACATGCACGCACACATATATACACACACTCATACCTACATACACTCACACACATGCACACACACACACTCACACACACTCACATACACACACACTCACATGCACACACACACATGCACGCACACATATATACACACACTCATACCTACATACACTCACACACATGCACACACACTCACACACGCACACTCACATACACACAGTCACACACTCACATGCACACACACTCACACACACTCACATGCACACACATGCACGCACACACATATACACACACTCATATCTACATACACTCACACACATGCACACACACACTCACACACACACTCACATGCAGGGACACTCACACTCACATGCACGCACACTCATACTCACACACTCATACATACACACATACACACACTCACACACACGCACGCACACACTCACACATGCACGCACACACACTCACATGCACACACACTCACACGCACATGCACGCAACTCACACTCACGCAGATGCATGCACACTCATACTCACACACTCAGACACACACACACATGCACACACTCGTACACACACGCGCGCACACACACATGCACGCATGCCAGGCTGCCGCCTCCCGGCTCACCCCCCTCAGCCTCCAATGCCCTCTCCATGCCCGCCAGGCCCTGCCGGCTCCCGGGGCCAAGGGGAGGGAATGGGGGGCCACAGGCCCCCCCCCCCGCAGGCCTGGCTCCGGCTCCCAGAGCCAGCCAGGGAAGGACGGGTGTGTGCCAACCTGCGTCCCGTGCCAGCCCGTGACTCACTGCCACCCGCCCGGAGATAGGAGGGTCCCTGAGGGCCCCGGGAGCCCCCAACAAGAAGAGGCAGCACCCCGCCTGCCGAGGGACAGACGTGCCCGAGAGCGAGGAGCCGGGAGCCGGCAGAGACGGGCTGTGCCCAGGCCCCGCAGCACCACCCACCCCACCCCACCCGAGAGCACAGCCAGCCCCGGGCCTGTTCTCGCCGGCACCCGGCTGAGCCCGACACTTCCTGCTTTTAAACTGTGGGGGGCGCCTCTGTCTGGGGGGGCCCCCAGGGAGGAGCCCCCCAAGCTCCTGCCCATGCGGGTGGTCGGCCTCCGGGGGGCAGGGAAGTGCCTGCTGCCCAGGGCCCAGGCTCAGTGGGAGGGGCTCCCATATGTCTCAGAGGCCTGAGGCCCCGCCCCCAGGCTGAGGGGTTGGGTGAGGCCTGGACATGGGGTTCCCCCTCCCCCGTCCCTGCCCCATGACCCCTGGCCTCAGGGGAACCATCAGCTCCCTGCAGCCCTGATGTCCCACCACCCGTGTCCTTGCTCAGAGAAGTCAGAGACCATAGCCCCGGCCAGTGTAGCTCAGTGGATAGAGCGCCCGCCTGTGGACCGAAGGGTCCCAGGTTCGATTCCGGTCGAGGGCAGGGACCTCATTTGCAGGCTCCTCCCCGGCCTGGGCCCTGGTCGGGGCGCGTGCAGGAGGCAAAAACCCATCGAAGTGTTTCTCTCCCATCGACGTTTCTCTCCGCCTCTCCCTCTCTCTCCTCCACGCTCCCCAAAATATCCCGGGTGAGGATGAACACGTAAAAAAATAGAAAATAAATGGTGGTGGGGCCAGCCGAAACCGGTTTGGCTCAGCGGATAGCGCGTCGGCCTGCAGACTGAAGGGTCCCGGGTTCGATTCCGGTCAAGGGCATGGACCTTGGTTGCGGGCACGTCCCCAGTGGGGGGCGTGCAGGAGGCAGCTGATGGATGTTTCTCTCTCATCGATGTTTCTCTCTCTCTATCCCTCTCTCTTCCTCTCTGTAAAAAAAATCAATTTTAAAATATATTTTTTAAAAATGGTGGTGGGGCCAGCCAGATGCCCCCCGGGCCTTCCCCCACCCCAGCCCAGCGCCAGGCCCCACCCTGCTCCCGGCCACAGGGGAGGGGTGCTCAAGAGGAGCTCAGGAGGAGACGGGGACCCCACCCACCCCGCAACACCCGAGTCCCACCTCTGGTGACTCAGGCATGGCTCCCACGCTGAGCCTCTCTCTGCTGAGCAAGCAGGTCCCCGCCCCCTCCCCCAGCGCCCAGCCCTGGGCCCGAGCGCCCCTCCCAGCCGCCCTCCCTGGGGACCCCTGGGGAGGGTGGGGCAGAGCTGCCCGCCACCTGCAAGGTCCCCCTCCCTCCCTGCCAGCGGGGTCTGCCCAGCCCTGGCCCCCATCCCAGGAAGATCCCAGTCCTGGGTGCCCCCACCCCCGGGCACGGAGTGGCCCTGTGTGCAGGCTCCCACGGGGAGGGCGATGGAGAGGCCGGCCCGGCCCGGCTGGGCTGGGCGTGCTGGCAGGGAGGAGCAGGGCGTGCCCCGGGGAGCCGGTCCGGCCGGCCTCGCCCGGCTGGTTTCACTTGGCTCATCGGCTCATCACCGGGAGCCACGTCCTGGCTCCCCGGGCGGGCAGTGCGGTCTGGTCAGCCTGGCCGCCCAGCTGCTGCCGCCCGGGCCGTGGGCAGAAGGGAGGGGCGGGGCCGGGCGTGTGTGTGCGTGTGTCTGTGTGTGTGTCTGTGTGTGTGTCTCTGTGTGTGTGTGTCTGTGTGTGTGTGTCTGTGTGTGTTTCTCTGTGTGTGTGTCTGTGTGTGTCTTGTGTGTCTGTGTGTCTGTGTGTGTGTCTGTGTGTGTCTCTGTGTGTGTGTGTCTGTGTCTGTGTGTGTCTCTCTGTGTGTATGTTTGTGCGCCTGTGTGTGTGCGCCTGTGTGTGTGTGTCGTGTGTGTGTCTGTGTGTCTGTGTGTGTCTGTATTTGTGTGTCTGTGTGTGTGTTTCTCTGTGTGTGTGTCTGTGTGTGTGTTTCTCTGTGTGTGTGTCTGTGTGTGTGTCTGTGTGTGTGTATGTGTCTGTGTGTGTCCGAGTGTGTCTGTGTGTGTCTGTGTGTGTGTCTGTGTGTGTGTGTCTGTGTGTGTGTATGTGTCTGTGTGTGTCCGAGTGTGTCTGTGTGTGTGTGTGTCTGTGTGTGTCTGTGTGTGTGTCTCTGTGTGTGTGTGTCTGTGTCTGTGTGTGTCTCTCTGTGTGTATGTTTGTGCGCCTGTGTGTGTGCGCCTGTGTGTGTGTGTCGTGTGTGTGTCTGTGTGTCTGTGTGTGTCTGTATTTGTGTGTCTGTGTGTGTATGTCTGTGTGTGTGTTTCTCTGTGTGTGTGTCTGTGTGTGTGTCTGTGTGTGTGTCTGTGTGTGTGTGTCTGTGTGTGTGTATGTGTCTGTGTGTGTCCGAATGTGTCTGTGTGTGTGTGTCTGTGTGTGTCTGTGTGTGTGTCTCTGTGTGTGTGTGTGTGTCTGTGTGTGTCCGAGACAGAGACACGGCGGGCTCCCGGGCAGACGAGGGCTAATGATGCTTTGTCTGAGGGAGGTCAAGGTTGGCACTAGCCGGCGGACGCCAGGCCACGGACAGGGCGGACAGGGCGGGGCTGGTGGGAGAGTCCTGGGGGGGGGCACCCTTCCTCCCCCCACGGTGGTCCCGTCCCATCCCGTGGCCCAGGCCCGTGGCCGGCAAACTCCTTCGCCCACGGAGCCAAACACCACCAGCACAGCGATTGCCGTGTCTCTGGAAGCCACACATTTTAAACGTAATCTCCGAACGCCACGTCTTCCACACAGACTCGCCCGGGCCGTGGGGTTCTGTGGAAGAGCCGCCCGCCAGGGGCCCGAGAGCCGCCTGTGGCTCAGGAGCCACAGTTTGCTGACCACAGGGTTAGGGTGCTGAGTGGGGGGCTCAGACTGGAGGGCCCCGTGAGGCCCCGAGCGGACAGGAGCCCTGCTTGGCTTCGGCTGTGACCCCGTAGAACTGTCCCCTCGTCTGCAGAGAAGGGGGGTGGCCGCTGGGACCTCCCTGCCTCCGGAGGGAAGGAAGCCCGGCCGGCGTGGCTCCGTGGCTGAGCAGCGACCCAGGAACCAGGAGGTCAGGGTCCGATTCCCCATCGGGGCACAGGCTGGGAGTGCAGGAGGCAGCCGGTCCACGACCCTCTGCCATCCCTGACGCTTCTGTCTCCC